TTCCCCCGCATTAGAACATTATGCTAAGCCAATAGCCACTGTGTTACTCTGTCACCTGAAGCTGGTTTTCCCTACCATATTAGTATCTTGTCTTTATTGACTGGACTGTTCATCATGTGCCTTTTATGGTATTTTGTCTGGATACAAACTGGCATGTAATTTTGAATAATCCTGTGAGATTTCTGTGCATATTTTATGTTTACCACTGTTTATTCTTCCCTTTCCATTTTGCCTTATCAAGAAGCAGCAGCATTTGGCAAACAGAATGGGATATAATATACTGGCTCTGTGTAATGTTCATAGTGTCTTGTTTTGAAAAAAAAAAAAAATGGCTCTCCTGACTGTACTTTCAATATAGTATGTATTTTCAGCTTCTCTCTTGTTTTGGTATAATTCATTTGTAGGATATGATGATACAGTTTTGTGTGTGTTGTAACTTTAGCAGTCACTTTCATGTTTGGAGATATGTAGTGACTGGAACTCTAGTTATGATCACTAAGTTTAAGTTAAATAAATACCGACTTTCACTTTGATGGTCTAGAGTGGACTTAAGGTTTTACAAAATTCTTCTGCAGAAAATTTTGCATCATTTTGGTAACTTAGAGACCTTGTCATTGCAGAAAACCTGAACTGGCAGGGCTGTGTGAGCCTCCAAAGCCAGTGGAAGACAAAGAGAGAAGTTGTTTGCTTACATTCTGTAAGTTCCTAATTCTAAAATATAGTGTGTTGGAAAGTTGCCAGATAATAACCGTGAAGTTTGCAAATATTTTTATCCATTGTAGTTAGTTACAGTGGCAATAGCAATATAAATTGCCGTATAATACCTCATCCAGTCTAAACCAGAGCATTTGTATTGTCAATAACATAGCTCAGTCACTTTGACTCATTGCAACTCATGTTTTAATTTTATTTTTATTTTAGTAAATGAACTAGTTATTGCCAACTATGCTGTAAACGCCTGTTGAAGTGAGGACATTATCTGTTCTTCTCAAATAGAAGTAATTGTCCATGTGAACATAGGGCTTGCGGGATGAGCTGTACTTAAGTTAGCGCTACGGATTTCAACATGAGAGCAGAATCTTGTATAATTGAAAATAAAATTAATATGACTAACTGATGGAGACTGGAGAGTAGAGATCATACCCTAATAATAATGCTGCATAATGATGCCACAGTTTAGCAAGTAAAAATTAACCTGCTAATTCTGGATTTGTTGACATAAGAACTTCAGTAATCTAATAATATAGACTTTTGGTGAACGTGCTCAGGCAAATACCAAAAATGGTTGCAATTGATGATTTACATGTGGTTTTGTATGCAGCCTATCTTTGCTTATATTGTGAAGTTAAGTTACTACTTGCTGGTTACCTGATTTATAGTTACTTGGTTTTGAGGATAGCTGCTTCTGAGTAATTGAAGAGTTCCTGATTTATGCGGTGTTGAAATTCCTAAGCTGGTGTATTCATTAGATAATTTTGATTATGCTAATGAGCAAATGGACATTTGAGCCATAGCCTGAATTAATATCAGAAAGAAATTGGGTCAATAGCCAGTGTACTGAAGTCCTCCTACCTGAATTCTTGTTGCTGTTTTCAAATGAACAGAGCGCTCTTGTCAGTACCAGTGTGACAGGTGTTTTCAGAACCAACCCAACTAAGAACAGGTACATACACTATTAGAGGCACGCATATACTACAAATTCTCACCAAATTTGCAGTAATTTTGCTAATGAATTTGTTAATGAATAGGATAGGATGTAACATGAAAAACTGACAAGACTCCATAATCCTATGGGATAACAAGATAGCTCTTAAGACTTGCTCTGTCACTGAATCCCATACCTCCCTGCTGTAAGCAAACTTGTCACGCTCCGCTGTAAAACTCAGCAAGCTCCTGTTCTGTTCTCTTCCATCCCCTTTCCACTCACACTGAAAGGCATTTACATGAGTGATAATTACATCCACTACCAGCCTCTTCTGTTAATTGGCTAAGATCAAAAAGCTGCTAAGTTAGTCACCTTTCCGCACAGTGGCCTGGATAAAGTCTGTCCAGTGCTGTTAATTCATCTCCTCTTCCTACAGTGCAGGTGATGGAGCCCCATGTCATGTGCAGTTTGCAGTGATGTGCTGGTTTTGGCTGGGGGAGAGTTAATTTTCAACATAGTAGCCAGCGTGGGGCCATGTTTTGGGTTTGTGGTGAGAAGTGTTCACACAGGGATGTTTCAGCTGTTGCTGGGTGGTGCTTACACAGAGTCAAGGCCTTTTCTGCTCCTCACACCACCCCAACAGCAAGGAGACTGGGAGTGCACAAGAAGTTGGGAGGGGACACAGCTGAACCCAACTAGGCAAAGGGATATTCCACACCATATGGCATCACACTCAGCCATAAACTAGGGAGAAGGTTGGGGGGACTGGTGGGGGTGGTTGGGGACTGCCTGGGCATTGGTCAGTTACTAGTGAGCACTTATTTTCATTTGCATCACTTGCTTTCTTAGGTTTTAATTCTATGTCTCTATTTCCCTTTTCATTATAATTTATTATTATGATGATGATTACATTTTATTTCAATTATTAAACTGATATCTCAATCCACGAGTTTTCTCACTGTTATTCTTCCAGTTCTCTTCCCCCATCCTGCTGTGGGGGGCTGAGCAAGCTGCTGTGTGTTGCTTCATTGCCAGCTGGGATTAAACCATAAGAACTGGTAAAACAATTTGGTCACTCAGCCATTCTGTGTCCTTCTCCCCCTCTAACACTGTTGAAGGCTCAGCCTCTTTAAGCTGAAAGTTGTGTCCTGTTTCTCTTGCTCCAGCTCTGAAGATCATCCACTTCTTTTAGTGTCTGCATCAGTAGCAGACTGTTTGGGACACTGTTTTCAACCACAGTATGAGGTTATTTACCTTCTTTTTAGAGAGCCTGAGCATTTTGGTCCCTGAAGGTACTTTTTCTTTTCCCCCTGGAATGGATTATCTGTCAGACTGCTGATCTGGTGACCCGCTCTGCATGGCTTCCAAACCATATCAGCAGTGTGGGATTGACTTTGGTCAGGTGTTGTGAAGACCAGTCTGAGTAAACTGCACACATATATACAGCTTGACTGCACGGTAGGGTAACATTCCTGTGTGTACCTAACTGTTATCCTGCTAGAGCAGGAAAAAACAGTGAAACTGATAGTGTAGACAAAGCTGCAGCACGGATAGGACTCTTTTAAGTGTGATTTCACCAAAAACAGAAAGGAAGTGATAGTTTCTGTTAACTACACTAGAAAACTCCTTTGCCCCAAGTATCTCCCAAATCGGTTGATGGAGAACATTTCTGGTGCCTCAGGTATGGATGCTGATGTAAACTAAAGCTTTGGAAACAGTAGCTCATACACCCAGCACGTGGTGCTTTGTCATTCTGCAACAGCTCTCTGCAACTATTCAGGGAAGCACTGCAACAGTCAACATTAGTAAGTTATCTCAGCCAAGTAACCAAAACAAGCAGTAAAAAGAAGTTCAGAACAC